GGTGTTTCCCACAGACCTATGGTCTTCTTACGGGAGCCCCTAGAAAGGTTAAGCATGAACGAACAAATGGGCGATAATCTGTACAAGAGCGAACAGTGGAAGGCAGCATATTCCACCGATCAGAACCTATGTAGCCAAGACGAGAAAAACCAGCTTTAGTGTGGGCAGAAGGCAAGGCCAGAGAAAAAAAGATTTGGGACCTAGTGACGGCAGTAGTATGTGCACTGGAGGAGCGGGTATGGAAAATTTCTTTTAGGAGAGAGCTACATGTGCCGCTATGGACAGAGCGAAATACAAGAATTATGTGCATGTAAATGTTTTCTCTTTTCCATGTTGATCTCTAGCATGTGTGGACACCTTGTTATGGAGATACTCATGTATTTTGCCATACATGTACATGTATGGCCACACTTGCAAGTACGAAAAACGCACAATTTTTCCGAACTTTGAGGCTCCATAAAGTACAACAAAGTGAATAATTATGATCCATATGCATCATAATAATTATCATGCACATGCATATCTGCAATACATTTCTGTCATTTTGATATACATGTACATGTACATATTGCATACTAAAATGTGAAGATCGGGTTTAGTGACTGACAGATCGAATAGGGACATTTTGTTCTCTCCCGAAGGAGTGTCGTTATAATTCAATCTCCACCGTACACCGTACTACAATCATGTACATTGTACACTATCACTACTTACTGTCGTGGACCTGGAAATCCGGTCGCACTGAGGGCGCCGGCCCCGGTCAATCAACTGGATTTCCAATTTTCCGTGTCCAGCACAGACTCAGTACATGTACATGTACATGTACAGTGAAACTACTTACTAGTACTTACTTGCCTAGACAAGGCTAAGACAAGTACACCCTGCTCAAGGGACCTTCAAAGTGCGGTCAGTGTTACCAGGTGGTCTCCTTATCCAGGGTCGTTGACTGGAAATACTGTAATCATCCCTTGGTCCTGGCTGCAGTGGTCGTCTGGGACAGGTGGTCGCATTATCCAGGGGGAAGTTACTAGTACTAGTATCCGATCCGCCGAGTGATCGCTTTGACAGGTTTTACTGTACAATCATGTCATGTACTCGTAGTTTGGGTTGACAGATACTGATTAGGTATTTATAGCAGATCTACTACATACAATGGTCATGTTGTAGAACTAGAACAGAAGCGCCGTGATCGCAAGATTTCACTCGTGACTTCAGTTTTAGTACTACACTATCATGCTACTACCATGACTACAGCGTACTATTATTATTATACGGTTGTATTAATTGTATAAACATTTTTGGTTTTGGGGACGATCGCAAGGCTCTACATTCTGGAATCCGGGATCTTCATTACTACATAGTCATTAGCCAAATCCTTGTATGCTGAACACTTAGAACCGTGATAGGACGACGCGACGACGATAGCGCCCGTGCATCAGTGAGGACGGTAATACATGTGGTGCCCTTTCTCCCTTTGGCATCGCGGGTCGCCTTGTAGGGTTGCCTTAGCGCGTTGGCCATTCCAGCACGTCGTGCGACGGAGTGCACAGCGCGTGTGCTAAAACATCAGCCAATCTACAACGCCGGTGTTTCGGTACTTCGATTCTGGCCGGCAGGTGGCAGGTGGTAAGTAGTCATGATGTGCGAATTGTAAAATTGTTGTAAATTATAACCATTCAAAATTATAGAGTGGACACCACTATCTAATATCGGTACGTTACGAGTTACGTTGCGAGGCGGACACCAAACACTTGTAAACGGGGTTCAACCGTTGGGATCCACTATGGATGTCTGGCCCCAATCGGAAGCCCAGTGCTTCAGAGTTTCCTTCCTCACACGGGACAAAGTTACATTGTCCTTCCACGAGTTTTCACGTGCAGTTGGCGTTGAAATTGCAGAATGGCTGAAATATCGTTAGCCCACTGTTTCTTTCTGCTGCCACAGATGTATGTGCATGTGCGCGTATGTGTGTGTGTGTGTGGGGGGGGGGTTGGATGGTGTGTGTGCGCGTGTGTGTGTGTGCGTGTGTACGGGTGTGATTGAACTGAGGCGGGTGTTATCTGGTTATGGCGTATGCTCACCGGCCCACGGCTAGGGCCATTGTTGAAGACAGGCTGAACCTGAGAGTGTTGTTCCATGGTTCAGTGTGCAGGATCTGCATCTCGGTGTGCGTACGCAGGGGCGTAGCTGGCCACCCTTTTAGGGGGGGGGGGGGGGTGCGCGGCCGCATACGTGTAGGATGGCTGGTGCATGTCATTCATGGCCATTATGTGCATGCTGAAACTAGGTCGAAATTTTTAGGGGGGGGGGGTGCACCTACCCCCTCCCCCCCCCCCCCCCCCCCCCCCGGCGTCCTATGCGGGCTACGCGCGTGGTACATGTATGTAGTACCAGGGCGTCGGAAGGTATTCGACACATTGGTGCGGCTATGACGAGGCGGTGGTCCGGGGGTTCTCTCCGTTGGAGATCGCTTGGAAAATTGGGCCCAAATAGCCCATACGTTATTGCTTCAGGGTTCTGCAGGCGAAATCATTGGTGCGTCTTTGGCCGAACCTGCCGCGCCGGTTCTGAGACCCCTGAGTACATCATGACAGAGTGGGTCTCTTGTCATTATTAATCCACAGTGGCACTGAACCAGCACAGCGGTGAGCGGTGATCTGGTCTTTAGTGCATGTATCTTAGCCATGCGTACTAATGCCTTGTACTGTAAGACCAATTATTTTAACGATCTCCTGATTTTTGTGGATTAGCGAGGTGAAATTCTAACGAATTCTGTCTCGAAACGGCAAATGACTGTACAGGGACATATCGTTTGCACATAACAACTTCAAATGTTTTAAACGACTTTTATATATTCGTTAAAACGTTACCATGAAATGTTCGTTCACATTAGTGGTCTCAAGTATGTTGGAATCCGGTGGAGTGACGGGCTGGCGCCCGTACTGCCGTAGCGAGTACAGCCACTGTAGTTCTCTCATACACTGCAATAATGGAGCAGCAGTGCTGGCGGGTGAAAGGCCAGCGCCCCGCGAGCGCTTGACGTTCTCCGCGGAGTTCAATGTCCACAACCGTACTAGTCTGCAGTATACATGTACGACAGTAACAGCGTAGCGCAATGCGGAGGGCACACCGTATGGAAGAAGTACAGGTTCCTGCACGAGTACGAGGGGCAGTACCGCGGAATCCAGCCCGCGCCGCGATAGCGGCAAGGGCTGGATGAACAGCGGTACTGGCCGAGTATGAGTGACTGGAACGTGTTTCCCGTATGCACCCAAGCCGAGGTCGCAAGGAGATCACTCACAATCTTTGAGTTTACATGAACTATTCTGTGACTCGAGTCCCTGTACACCTGTGTGACTATGACTGTGAGCTGACTGAGAGTGACTTCGACAACCGTACACCATTGTACACGGACTACAGTACATGACTTTTGCATGTACTTTCAGACCACAGAAGCTTGTCATTGAAATGGTAGACTCATAAGTGAATTTTGTTCACTGCCCGTCGTCAAGTGACGACGGGCAGTGGATTCTGTCCACTGCCCGTCGTCACTTCACGACGGGCAGTGGAACTAGTTCCATCACCATTCAGCAGGCAGGATCGCGCTTTCCAGCCCGCGTAATTTGATCTGTCATTGGTCGACTCCAAGGCGACAGTCATGTGACATACGGGAAAACAGTGTTCCTGCATGCTATGCTGTAACCATCATACCTGGTAAACTAGAGTGTTGGCCCTAAATGAAATCCAACCTCAAGAATAAAATAGCGTTGCCGGGCATGCACTACGCAGCCCTAGCACTACACATACTGGTCTGTGCACTCAAACACGGCACTGCTTTCATTCAAGAGGTTGGATTTCTCTGCCCAGTACTGTATCATACGAGGCTTACACACGCCACAGGATTCACCTACAGTGCTGCGCAATGAACTCACGTGTAATATGGTATGTCTCCTTGCACACATATCTCCATCTGATAACATGGTGTGTGGTGTGTTCAAATTTAGAAGTGGTCGTCAGATCGCGTGAGTCGATTACATGCCTGCCAGATCATCAGACACGCTTTCTTTCTGTTATCTCTTTTCCAGGGATGAAGTAAGTGAGACGGAGTATACTGGCAACTGAACCCGAACCATGGCCCGTGCACAGCCGAGGCGAGGACTCTCGCTTTGTCGCCAACGCCCCGTCGTACTCGATTGCCGATTTCAGCGCTGCATCTCTGATCCACGGCCATCACCGTGCTCCACTTCAATACGTGACGTTCTGCAGCCGGGGCTGCCACGCATAGAGGTTCAACGCCGGACTTCGCTAGCAGGGGAGGCACCGATGAGGGGCTGCCGGGCATGCTGATCGATTCGGATTTGCCGCCTGCTGTTGAGAGCAAGTAAGGCTGTGGTGAGGAGAATGTATCATTGCGCCAGGAGCTTGCCAGCCTCACAGCCAAACTGGCGCAGCTAAGAAGGCATGTGTACACTGTGGAGCATGGGACTTGCTTTATCCACTCTGTCTGTGTGTCTGTCCGTCTGCTTTTTCTCTCTTTCACTCACTCTCCTTCTCTCTCTCTCTTCTCTCTCTCCCTCTCCCTCTCCCCCCCCCCCCTCTCTCGCTCTCTCTCTCCCTCTCTTCTCTCTGTCTCTCTCTCTCTCTCTCTCTCTCTCTCTCTTCTCTTTCTCTCTCTCTCCCTCTCTCTCCCTCTCCCTCCCCCCCCCCCCCTCTCTCTCTTTCTCTCTCCCTCTCCTCCCCCCCCCTCTCTCTCTTTTTCTCTCTCTCTCTCTCTCTCTCTCTCTCTCTCTCTCTCTCTCTCTCTCTCTCTCTCTCTCTCTCTCTCTCTCTCTCCTTTCCCTCTCTCTCCCTCTCCCTCCCCCCTCTCTCTCTCTATATCTCTCTCTCTCTCTCTCTCTCTCTCTCTCTCTCTCTCTCTCTCTCTCTCTCTCTCTCTCTCTCTCTCTCTCTCTCTCTCTCTCTCTCTCGCTCGCTTTCTTCTCCTATGTGTCTTCCCACCCATGCCGTTAATCTCTGTCTTCCTTCTGATGGCCAGTACTATGGTCAGTTTGACAGGGTAAAATGCTCTCTTTGGCATGGCTGCAGCTCCATAGAACAGAGGAGTGTGCATCAATTGCCTACATCTTTTCTGGTCAGCGTTTATACCATCTTAGTTCAGGGCATGGTGTCATGTGTGAGTGAGTTGACACGAGTGTGTGGATGTTGTATGGTAGCAATGCTGTCTATATAGTATATACACACACCCAGGCGTGGATATTATGGTTATTTGGGGGGGGGGGGGGGGGGGTGCTTATGTGTGTTATGGGTGTGTATATAATTATGTAACTCGGATGGTGAGCCAATTAAATAATTGTGAAAACGTTGGTGGACAGGTAGTCATAACTCGTAACATTTTGTCCTTCTTCTTTTCACAATTATATTATTATGTGTGCATGTTTTGTTTTTGCACCTTTAGTTTGAGCGGGATCTCGATTCTATCCGCGAACAGCACGACATCTTGCAGCAGTCCACAGATAAGCAGGAGAGGCTGGAGCAGGCATTCCGCACCCGGCTGGAGGACCGCTGCCGTCGACTAGAACAGGTCAACAAACAGCTGAAGGGTATGTGAGGATCTGTGTCCATCCTAGGTGGAAGCTGCAGTTGATTTTTTGTTTTAAAGTGCTTCTTGCGCTCTGTGTTGTGTAAAAGGGGAGCGAAAACATCCTGGGAAGTTCACAACACATGAGACAATATAGCGTAACCCCAGTGCATCGCACCCAATAGCGTGCTTAATTGGATTTCATTGATCAGAACTGTAGTGGGTCTAAAGTCCGTCCTGTTTTTATTAGACATTATCTTTCTTTACGGAGTTGTTGTTGCTGTTCATTTTGCTACTGTTTCTTTTTCCCTCCCCTTACTTTTATTTATCGCCGTGGTTGGCAATCACCCACTCTCTTCACATTGGCCGGTGTTTCCACCGAGTCTTGAGATGTTGTAATAAATATAAAGCAAAGAGCATGCCCTATTGACGTTCCTATTCTCTTGATGTGTACTTTCCCGTTCCTCTTCTTCGACCTTGCCGGGTTGTTGCCATCAACAGCCAAGCTAGAAGATGAGCGGCGGCAGACTGACTCGGTTGTGCTGCACGCCCGGGATGAGATGATGGAGGAGCTGATGCGGCGTGACCGTATCATACACACCTTAACTGCACAGTGTGAGTTGTGAACTGAATGATGCATTTGTTTCCTGTTCTTCAAGGGAGATTGAGAAAGAGAGACAGACAGAGCCAGCAAGAAGAGAGAGAGAGAGAGAGAGAGAGAGAGAGAGAGAGAGAGAGAGAGAGAGAGAGAGAGAGAGAGAGAGAGAGAGAGAGAGAGAGAGAGAGAGACAGAGAGAAAGAGAGTGAGAGAGATTTGGACTCAATTGCAATTCCGACTTACTTGTGTCTGTTCGTACAAGGCTATTCTCCAGAGATTCACCGAAAACCATTTTCAAATTTCATCTCCACCTTGCCGATAAGCTCGCCCTAAAGTCTTTTCCTGTTTTTTTTTGCTTTCGTAACAATGCTCCAACAGGCACACTGGCCAGGAGGAATGTGATCGGCTTCGACATGAGATTGTGGACCTTGGAGAGAAAGGGCAGGTGATACCGCAACTTGAGACACGAGTGTCTGAGAGTGATGCACGGCTAAAGCGTGTCAATGAGGAGGTCAGTCTTAAGTCTCAATGTGTGTGTGTGTGTGTGTGTGTGTGTATTTGTGTGTGTGTGTGTGCGTGTGTGTGTGTGTGTGTGTGTGCCCAGCTAGTTTGGTTGGTGGGTACACTTATGCTAGATACTGTTGGGTCTGGTGCCAACAGGCTCGGCTGCTTGAAGGTGTGTTGTTGTACCTACCACCTTTGTTGGTTTCAGGGTTCATATACTTTCTATTTGAAGTATACATACCTGTTGACCATGGACTGCTTCTGGCTAGATTAACTCTTGTGTAATCAATGGTGCTAGTGAAGCTTATATCAGATCCACTCTGATTTAGCCACCCACACTAGTACCAAGTATTACCTTCACTGGGGGCAGGGGTAACTGCAGTTGGATCCCGGGACGGATACCCTGATGCCGTCAATCCTTTTTCTGCACCTTGTCCTCACCCACTTACTGAGGTGTGGTCAGCCCATAAGTGGGATCATTTCAAATCCACCCTAGTTTGGGCATTTCAGGGGGTGTCAGCCGTTGGGCGGTTCAATAGCCAATTGTGTCATCTTTCCAAGATTCCTTTTGAGTCTCTCTCCCCTCTCCCGGGGAGACCAATGTGACCAGCTTTGGCAGTGAGCAAGTACAAGTGTGTGTGTGTGTGTGTGTGTATGTGGTGCTGGGGCTGAAGATGGCAACCACATGTTGTGTATAAACGTATAAATGCCTATAGTATGTGAACGCCATTTTCTTCGACATAATTGATAAAAAGTGTGTCCAACAATTGTCGGCTCACCGCTTACTCAAATATAAATAAATGTTTCCGATAATTCTATAGGGCTTGCTTATAAGGTAGTTAAATCATGATCTCTCCTTGGTTCTCGGTGTTTTCGTTTCCTCTAGTTCACAAGGCAGGTGTCACAGGCAATTCCCATCCGAGAGTTTGAAGCTGCCCTGCGGGAGCTGAGAGAGGTTTCCACCAGGCAAGATGCACTGGATATTCAGCAGCGCGAGCGGCTGGAGAGTGATGTCAACTTGCTACGACTTCAGGTAGGTATTACAAGTGTTCTCGTTGCCGTACTCTCAGATCTCATCTCTCTATCTCTCTATCTATCTCTCTCTCTCTCTCTATCTATCTCCCTCTATCTCTCTCTCTATCTATCTATCTCTCTCTCGCTCACTCTCACTGTCTATCCCTCCATCCTTCTCTCCCCCCCCCCCTAATTCTCCTCTCTTTATATATTTAGCTTGCTGGATAATGCCAGCCCCCCCCCCCCCTCCCCCCCCCTCGGCACATGGCCATCATCAGGTAACTTAACAATGATACTGTTCCAGCTACAAAGGAGCAGTTATATCAGGGGGCGTCGCACACGGTACGGTCAGTACGGTATTGACCGTACCACTATTTGCCCCAAGTTCCTTGTGAATCAATAAAATGAACTGATTTTGGCTCTAAATTTCCAAAAGTTTCGGCTCGGCAACCCCTCCCCCACGAGTATATTGTACTTCAGATGGCTGACCGTACCACACTTAATTACCTTCCGACGCCCCTGTATATACAGGGCATTCCGCTGAAAGGGTGTAAGTCCTCTCGCTCCGAAGAAGGGAAGAAGTGTCAATGGGAGCCCACACCACAGCACAGGTGAGAAGGCCAAGTTTCCCCTATACAGCCAGGATGAAGTACATACATACTGAGGCGAGAATGTAAGAAAGTCCCCCCCCCCCTCCCCTCCTTTGTGTAATTGTTGTCTGTGTCCATCTAGGTTGACCTGTTTATGTGTGTTCGTTCTGTCCATGTTACTGCTAACGAGAATTACTCCTGTGTTACTGCTATGTAGCTGGAACGCTGCAAGCAGCCCTACTCCCCTGACGGTATGCCATCTGAACCTCCGGGTAACGTAACTCCACAGCAGATCTGCGACTTTGAGGCACTTCTCTGTCGGCGTGAGTGTCACATTCAGCAACTCCAAGAGGATGTGGTGAAGGTAAGTGTGAATGTGAATGTTTTCTTAACAGTGGTGTGTTTAAAATACCTGGCGAGGCCCAGCGTTCATAGTGATAGATCTTTTGTGTGTGGGTGTGTGCCTGTGTGGTTGTGTGTGTCCCATATGGTGCAGTGGTATGTGCAGTCGATTTCTAATCGACAGGTTGCGGGTTCAATTCCCGACGACTATGGTCCCACTGTCTTTCTTCTCTTTCTCATTCTCCTAGCTCTTCTTTCATTCTCCTGGGTGCGTGTTTTTGAATGCAAGCCTGATTTTCAAGATACATATCGTCACAGTAGCCTGGTCTCAGTGTTGACATGCTCTAGTGTCGTGTATAAAAGCATGACCCATATTGAAGCATGACCCATATTGAAGCATGACCCATATTGAAGCATGACCCATATTGAAGCATGGCCCATATTGAAGCATGGCCCATATTGAAGCATGACCCATATTGAAGCATGACCCATATTGAAGCATGACTCGAATAGAAGCCGATTTTTTGAAGCGCGCCGTGACGCAGAACCACGATTTGAATAGAAGCATGCATGCATCATGTACTTGCACACTACACACGTGACAATGTGTGCACTGCACAGTGTAGACTGAAGATGTCGACGTAGAAGCATGTTTCGAATAGAAGCATAACTTGAATAGAAGCATGGTTTGAACCCCTTCTTTTACGGCCGTAAGTGCCTGCTTTTATACGCGACATTACTCTACATAGAAATACAGTCAGACCTCGCTTATCCGGTCCTCTTTTATCCGGATCCCTCACCATCCGGAAGAAAACCGTTGGTTACCGATTTTCAGCATAATATTATGCCATGTATACATACAGATTGAGTATTTCGCTCCTGCTCTTGTAGCAGTTGAGCACTCTTGCGTGGGGTAGTGCCTTTGCTGTTTGCGTTATGCAGAGCTCACTGACTTGTCAGTTTGAGCACTCTGGCAAGGTACGTTCGGGCCTGATTGGAAATTTTTATTTCCATTGCTATCAGGTTCGGCCTCATTTCTCTGTGCTGCGCTGATGAGTTCAAAAAGAACGAAACAGCATGCTGTCCGCAGATTGAGTATTTCGCTCCTGCTCTTGTAGCAGTTGAGCACTCTTGCGTGGGGTAGTGCCTTTGCTGTTTGCGTTATGCAGAGCTCACTGACTTGTCAGTTTGAGCACTCTGGCAAGGTACGTTCGGGCCTGATTGGAAATTTTTATTTCCATTGCTATCAGGTTCGGCCTCATTTCTCTGTGCTGCGCTGATGAGTTCAAAAAGAACGAAACAGCATGCTGTCCGCAGATTGAGTACAGTATGTGTGTTCGATTTTCCTGTTCCCGCGCCTATCCGGATATTTTTGTGGAAAACGTATGTGTGCGGTTATGCGAGGTCTGACTGTACCAGTTCTGAAAAGAATGCTGGTGCAAATAGAAGCCTAGCACTAACGTCGGCTTCTGCGGGAATAAGCCGAGATGTGTAATACCGGTACACAACCGGTTATGTTGTGTTTTGCTTTGCGATGCAGTGGCGGCAGCTGTACTCGGATGAGTTGAACCTGGTTGCTTCCACGGACACTAACGGGTAAGAGTGTACTGTATGTGACATTGGGTGACGACAAGAGTCCATACCCGCAAGAGTGTGCAACTAGCAACGGTCTGGCTGCTGTAGGCCCACTGCGCGGCGGAATTCCAACATTACGTCATGCCGCTGAAGCACAGCCGTACAAAACTCCGCATTCCGCTGTGCTTGGAACCAGGGAGTAGTACAAGCGCAACGAACGTGTACGTCATTTTTGACGTTAATGTTGGAATTCGCCCGCGTGGATCCCCATGTACAGAGTTGCACACTCTTGGGTTATGGACTCTTGGTGACGATAGTGGTGCTCTCACTTCCTAAACTCCAGTATCTTACTCCTTATTCGTTCGATCCACAGCACTTGGGTGCACGAAATGTGTTCGGTCAATACAGGATTCCGCTTGATACGTGGGTCTGGCAAACACAGCTCTACTGTGCCTTTGTTTGCTTTGTGCTCGCTCAGCTTGCGCAGTTATCCGACACGGTCTCAGTCACTGGCCGACGTCACATCCGATGAGCGCAACTCGTCCGATCAGCATCGTCAGCAGCAACAACAGCAGCAGCAGGAACAACAACGACGCCGCGTTGAGATCGTGAGCGCTGACCTGTTCTCCGCCAATCGGCGCGTGGTGGAGCTGGAGACGGTCGTCAAGCAGCTGCGCTTCCTCATGACCGACCTCAGCAAGGAGTTGACGAACGTGCGACGCCTACGCGATGAAGATGAGCGGCAGGTCGGGAGAGACATCGCCACCGCCGCCACCACCGCTGCGGGAGACCGTGAAAACCGCAATGGAGGTCATGACGGTGGCGGTGATGATGAAAGAGCCGCTTCTCCCGACTCCTCAAGCTCGTTCCCCTTATCGCCAATCTCCAAGAATGGCACGTCATTTGGTAGCGTTGAACATCTGTAAGCTCGAACGTTTTCCGGTCTTTTGATGCCGGAGAATGTACTCAGTACTCTGACTTTGAACAGTCGCTTGTAACGTTACTGGTACGTTTATAGTTGGGCAACAGAGCGTATTGCCGGTTTCGTCGCTGTGTTTCTGATGTCATGGCACATGCTGCAGTCACCTAGAACTATATCAATAATATTATAGTGCGCACTGTACAGGAGTTATTTTTGCATAATTATCATTTTGCATGCCAGCGTCTTGAACGGTGCCATCGTGGTGTCGGGACCGTGCAAGTCCTGGGCCACATCACCTACTAGTCTGCCCTGGTGTGTGTGTACAGTATAGGTTGAATTTCACCTATTGTCTATAGGACAACTGTCTCGGTCACACTTATTGTCTATAGCCTAGGGCAACCAGGATACTGTTGAGTCAAAATGTACAATGACAAGGATTGAAATTTTAAACGCCATTTTTCAACCAAACGTCATGCAAGCTGTGCATGTAAACTTAACATACACACAGGCACACACATGCACACGAGTTCACACGAGTTCACAGCACAGCAAGGGGCTTCTAACGTAAGCGAGTGCGTGGTAGATAGTGCCGACAAGACGCAATCAGAGGGTGGAAAGTACAGCGTAACCAGTGTGCTCCTATACCGGTATACGCTCACAATAACCCTTACCAGGACATACACACATGCATCCCCCCCCCCCCCCCCCCCCCCCCCCCGGTCGAGAACTGCCATTCACGAATATGTTGGTGCCCCCCCCCCCCCACACACACACGCACCACAACCACACACTGTAGCAAAGTCTCAGGGTTGTTCTGAACAATATTGTAAAACATTGGCCAGGCAGTGAAGACACTGACCTCATTTGGTAAGGTCGACAGTATTTGAAAATAGCTTACACGAGCTGGAGCTGTTTGCAATAATATTATAGAAATGATTGTGATGGTGATAGAGGTTGTGATTGATTGGCGATGAAGATGATGGTCATACCGCCATGACATCACCAATGATGTCATCATGATACCATGCATAACAATGATAATGACGCAGAATGGAGTGGCTGAGTGTACTGGGGGAAATCGCAAATCATTGTACTCGTACTTGTCCCTGTACTAGTTGGAATCGATAGATCAAATCGGTGGGGAATGAGAAATTGAACAACAGGCTACCATATTGAAGCAGCACACACGTAGAAAAGGCACCGAAGAGCCAGCAATCGGCAGCGTCTAATATAAATTCGTATTCAAGGTGTGACGAGCACTCGTGACGGCAATCGAACAACTGAACAGTGACCACCTCGCATCACAGTTCATCACCGGACACTTTGACATGGCCATTAGAATATCGTGCATGCTCAACCACTGTGAAGTGTTCACTCTTTTCACACAAATTGACTGCAGAGGTCTGTTAGTAGCAAGACAATCAAAAAACAAATGATTGAGGATACAAGAGGATCAGAAAGTGCGGAGAAATTCTGCTACTATATCAAAATACTGGTTTTCGGGCTTTACTATCTGCTGGATTATGACTTGTATAGAATGGTGCGCACTCTATGCACGTGCACATATGCTCATGCATGTAAGCATGTAAGCATGCACACACACACACACACACACACACACACACACACACACCATGTACCCCCCCCCCCCACACACACACACGCGCGCGCGCGCGCACACACACACACACACACATTCACAAACACACACACATACACACGCACTGCGGCAGCGCATGTTGCCTCCTCCGCTATCGAGCTCCCCATACAGGAGTCCTGCCATACATCTCAAACTCCTCAGGGGGATTCGCAGAAGCGGAAGGTGCCAGGGATTTCTGCGACGGACTCTGACTTGGTAGCTTCGGCGAGGAACCTGCACTGGTTGGAGCTGTAGCGATGGATGGATGACTATCAGTGACGGATGGTGGCCGAGAGCCTGGGTTTGACAGAGATACGACTTCGTACGCTGGGAGAGGAACTCCACGAGCAGCGCTGTCGCTGGTCAAGCTCGCAGCGGATGCACTGCTAAGTCCAGCGGAAGGCGCTTCTCTCGTCTGCGTTGAGCCTGTTCCCGTGCGCCCTGCAGCAGAGCCGGTGGTACCAAACACAAGGTGGCACTGCGAGATCATCAGAGCAACCACTTGGCTGAGTGAGGAGGTCAGCGACGCCGAGAAGTTGTCCAGCGGAGGCTGTGTGAAGTTGGGTGCAAACACGATGCTCTGGTTGCGTGACGTCATCTTGTTCTCCTGGGAGTTCAGCAAAACACTGCAGGTACAGAACAACAGCAGTAGCAGTGACAATAGCAGCACCAGCAGCAGCAGCAGCGCCAGCAGCACCATCAACAGGAGCAAAATGATAAGCATCACCAGGTGGACACAATGTGGCAGGGCCAAGCAGCCTCGAGCGACACCAGTCGGAAAGTACTTAGTCACCCGAAGTACGATCTACTTGAGGGGTCGGGTAGCTCATCTGACATTTTTCGAAATTCACACCACAAATCCGTTCCTGAGGGGCCATCCGTAAATACCAATATTTATTTAGAAAAGAAAACTAGTCGTTTCTCTTCACCCCCTCCCCCCTCCCTCAGAAACGAACACATACAAACGATGCATAGCATCGATATATTTTCTTTTCTTTTCTGGACTTGCCCACACATACAAACTGTGCATCGATATTTTTCGAGAAACGAACAGGCGCTAACCACCCCCCCCCCCCCCCCCCCCCTAAACGATTAGTTTTCGTTTCAAATAAATATTTATAATTATTTACGGATGGCCCCTTATAGAGTGGTTTAGTCAATACTACATCTTAGTTGATCCAGAGGCGTACACAGGGTTCTTCAGAGGGGGGTTACATCGGCATGCATGTAACTGTGCGGCGCATAGATACAAGCAACACCAGTTTCATGCTTCTCTCTTTCCGTGACAAGGACTGTGACTGCCACTTCTGTTCATCCGCTGCCCTACCCCTATCGCACTACACTGCCCTACCCCTATCGCACTACACTGCCCTACCCCTATCGCACTTCACTGCCCTACCCCTATCGCACTACACTGCCCTACTACTATCGCACTACACCGCCCTACTACTATCGCACTACTCCTCCCAGTCCTACTGCTTGCTAGCTAGCTACTGGAAGCCTTCAGATCGGGCTGATGCCAGCTGGGCTGCCAAAACTACGGAAAACAACTATGGAGCTGCAAAAGTCCCAACTGGCCACTGCCTGTACAGCCTACTGCTCTTTACTTACCCACTGGATCAGCAGCGGATTCTCCTGCAGACGCTAATGCGGCCTCAGCAGTGCTGCCGGAACTTGTCGACGGGTTCCAGCTTGGCCAATAACCTTCTCGCGCTGGCTTCTGGCTCGACTTTACGGATGCATTCAAGGAAGGTGTGGAAGGATTCGTCATCACCCAGGCGTAGTGCATCGAGCAATGCCTCATTCTGCGCTGCTTTGCCAATGTATGATGCAAACAGCTGACGCTGTTCCTGCTTAATCAGCTTCTTAGCCTCACACTGGAGACGCATAGCAACTGGAGTTAGCGTGGAAACCAGGTCAGGCAGAAGTTCTGTGAAGACGTCACTCTTCCATGCTATTATGTCAGAGAGCTGTTGGTCGAGAGACTCGTCTGAAAATGTTGCCACAACACACACATAGAGAAACAGAATGGTTTCACATCTATCACATGACTGTACGGGATAGGCATGTTGGGTTCAACTCCACTCAACTCCTGTATCTATGGGTCACATGATGTCGGCCATGTTGGTTCCACTGGTCACATGACATCACTTTCTGCACAAATTTAGTCACATGACCAAGATGTGACCACAACTCCATACATTCCGTTCCTAAGTCTGAAGCTATTGACAAGCCATGCAAAAGCAGTGTTGGGCTTAACGCTGCTTCAGTAGAACCATCCGACACTAGGAACAGGCCTGGCCTGGACTTGATCAATCATGCAGCTCTACAGACTTGCGAGCGCCCGCTTCTGATGAGCACAAGCCTGTGCAGTGAAAAGGTTTACAACTGACTCGCCGGGCCCCGCAGCGATACGACGGACCGCTTGCAGGGGCATCGGGACTGGTGCTGCAGGTGCGGCCAAAGTCGCAACAATAAGTTTAACTGGTGATTATTGGAGCAATGAAATAATACTCTAATTTCAGAAATTTTTGGTGCTCAATATTCTCGGTATGAGGGCAAGAGGCCAGGTTAGGTGAACAGAAAATTTCGGTACAGAGAAGCAGCTCCCTATTGGATTATATGTGTTAGTGGTTGTTCGGTGTATTGAAATTTTAGGTATGAAACAGATGCACCGAAAGTACCGAAAATAAAAGCACACCGAAATTTTGTGAAATTACAGTACTGTAAAGCAACTTATTTTCGCTGGCAAAATCATTTCGCTGATTTCGCCGCTTGGTACCAACTGGCCAAAGTAAGTTGCAGGCCAAGTTTGTCACCGAGGCAAATAATGCTTGATTGAGGCATGGCTGCATGTGAAAGCAACACCTACTGATCGTTTCTTTCTAAACCCCATTCGGCCAAAGTATGATGACGGCCGAAAAAGTTTCAATTCGAGATCGGCCAAAGTTTCTCACCAGCCAAAATTCCTTGATTTACAGTAGGCTATTTTGGCATAATTTATCAAAACCTTTCCCAGGTGGAGTGCCTATTCGTGGGTCTTTCATACCGATACAAATGTAGGATACCTTCCAATGCCCCTGGGTTGTTTCACCACTGTACTGTGTACAGCACATTTAGCGCAATGAGCATTGGCAAATTGTGCCAGCTAGGAGCTTGTAGCTGGTCAACTGAACTACTACATGAGCTAAAAACTACTAAACAATCTGCGTGCGCACACACAAGCACGCGTGCGCGCGGGCACACACACACATGTATGCATGTATGTACACACGCACTCACCACACACACACACACACACACACACACCCACACACCCACACATACACACATACACACACACACACACCATTTGACCATTTTGACGCCCATCGTCGGAGGCGATGATAGCAATGCTACAGCACAAGCCATGGCAACTTGTGCTGACACACACACACACACACACACACACACACACACACACACACACACCTTGACCTTGTGACCTTGTGTACAGCTGCCAGTAACTGGCTATGCCGCCCCGATGCAGGGGAGGAGAGGAGAACGCGCAGTCATGACGCCCTGCAGACATGTCGCCGGATGCCGCGGAGCCAATGGAAACCTCTCTCACACCCGCACTCATGTTGAAAAGTGACCACGATCAACAGACCTGCACCCGCCTCTCCGACAGTTGTGGCGGCCGAAGCCCGAAGCCGACTTGCAGCAGCGGCCACAGACACTGCAGTGATGACCGCAGCAGCGCTCAGTCGAGACAGCGTACCGGGGTGGGGATGCCGAGGGCAGAGATGCTTGAGCTGGAGGCGATGAGGCGTGAGCAGTAGCGGTTGGCTCCCCCGGCAGAGATCCTTGGGCTGGCGGCGATGAGGCGTGAGCAGTAGCGGTTGGCTCCACTGTTGTAGATGGTGCTGGCTGACAACGGTGAACAGCCAGCCCCCCCCCCCGCACTTTTAAACCACCGCCGGCAGGTGCTGCAATGCCGTGCACCACGCTGAAGCTCAACCGGAAGCCGACGCTCAGCAAGGCACTTGTGCCGTGTAAGACCCGACTGTTTGGTGAATGTTCTGTTGCAGGTGTTACAGTGAGCAGCCGACTCCGGTGCAGGACGGTCCACACTGGGCAGATAGATGCTGCGCCACTCTTGTCGCTCTTGTGCGGACTTGTACCACTCTGGTACATGGAGTAGAGTAAGATCCGAGCGAACGCGGACCTTCCACCTGAGACGTGGTCCATGTACTGGCCTAGTCTGCGGCAGCCAACCAAACAGAAGCTGCTTCGGAAGGCGGTCATCCGGCATGCGGGCAACATGGCCAAGCCACTGCATTCGCCGGCGACGCAGGATATCAGAAAGCAGATCACTATTACCCCAGCGCATACGCAGGTCACTGTTGGTGATGTGGTCCGTTTCCTGGTCCATGCGCGATACGCCAAGGATAGCACGGATGCACTGGTGATCGTAACGGTCCAGACGATCTTCATCCCGACGCAGCACAGGCCAGGATTCAGAGCCATAGAGGAGGACGGACAACACGCAGGCATCATAGATCACTCGCTTCGCTCGGATGGAGATAGCGGTGTTTTCGAATACGCAACGGAGTGCACCGAAAGCCCGAGAAGCCTACGCAAGTCGCCGGTCAACTTCCGGACCGATCCTGCCCTCTGGAGTCATCAAGCACCCAAGGTAGATGAAGGACGGCACGCACTCTAACGACTGACCATCGATGACGATGGGACGGCGGTCATCATCAGGAATGCCGAAGCCGCAACACATGAACTTCGTCTTGGCAAAGTTGACTGTGAGACCAAATGCTGATGCCACAGGATGGAAAAACTCAAGTGCCAACTCAGCCACTTCACGGGAGGGCACCATTAGAGCATCATCATCAGCAAATTCCACATCCAAAGCTGCAGAATGCTGGTGACACGTGCGGCTGTTGTTGAACAAGTTGCCGTTGATGTTGAACCAAGTCAATGCCCGCGTCTGGATGTCGACGCTGCACCTCACTGCGCCACTTCTCGAATACAAGGGCAAAGTAGAGATTGAAGAGGACGGGAGAGATTGTACATCCCTGTCGCAGACCATTGTTCACCGCTATCTTTTCAGTACGCCTGTTGCCAACACGGATGCCGTCGTGGAATGACGCGATGAGACGAACCAGGCTCTCAGGTACACCTAGAGCGCGCAACGCAGCCCACAAAGCCTCACGAGGAACAGAGTCATACGCCTTCTTTAAATCAATAAAGATTGCAAAGCTGCTGGTGCAGTGTTCGTACAGTTTCTTTCTCTGTCAACTGGAGGACAGAGAAAATCTGGTCGATGCAGGAGCGGCGTCGCCGGAAGCCACATTGCGAATCCGGTAGTTCCTCCTCAGCCAGTATCTGCAAGCGGTTTTGGATGAGACGGCCCACAACTTTGCCCACCACGTCGAGAAAGGCAATGCCCCTCCAGTTGTCACATCTGTACAGGTCACCCTTTTTGGGGATCGGCACAATCTCGGCAGCACGCCACGCCTGGGGTACGCAACTCTCCCGCCAGACCTGATGGACTAGCTCTAGTAGAGCGCCAGTGAAAGCAGGACCAGCATGTTTCACCATCTCAGGTAGAATGCCAGACTCTCCAGGGGCCTTGTGGTCACACACACACACACACACACACACACACACACACACACACACACACACACACACACACACACACACACACACACACACACACACACACACACACACACACACACACACACACACACACACACACACACACACACACACACACACACACACACACACACACACACACACACACACACACACACACACACACACACACACACACACACACACACACACACACACACACACACACACACACACACACACACACACACACACACACACACACACACACACACACACACACACACACACACACACACACACACACACACACACACACACACACACACACACACACACACACACACACACACACACACACACACACACACACACACACACACACACACACACACACACACACACACACACACACACACACACACACACACACACACACACACACACACACACACACACACACACACACACACACACACACACACACACACACACACACACACACATCGATTCAACTAAAATAACAAACACTTCATACATCAATATTGCTCTAGCATAGCGCTCAGCATAACACAGTGCACCACATAATGCTGCGAGGCTTACACTTCTTCTTTTTCGCCGTTGGCGCCTCCGCTCCGCTACTGAAAGTAGAAAGCACAAAGAAGAAAGAAGAAAGGACCTACATGTTTAAGTTACGAGTTATGACTAACAGTCCACCAAGGTAACGAGATGTATACTTATCGGCCCTTTCTTCTTTCTTTTTAAAGTAACACTATTGGCTGAACATCCCATTTTTAATCAGCATCAAGAAGAGATTGAAGATGCATGAAAATGTTATGTGCATTCATGGCCAGTAGAGGCAGTTTGATAAACTTTACTGGCAGAAAATTTTGTCGGTCAATAATTTCGTCCAGCTCCAAAGAGAGGGAGTTCGTCCGGTTGTAAATTTCGTCCATGGATCATAAGAGTGTTTTGAAAAGCAGAATATATCGACACTAGTCCGGCATTTAATTTAGTCCAAAAGCTCCTTGGACGAAAAAGACGCAATAAAATTGCAGACGAATATTTCTGCTGATACAGTAGTGCTCCAAACACCAGAGTGTTGAGTCCTGAATGGCAGACTGGACACAAACACAGGTGGCGGGTGACTGCTTGTGAATGTCAGTTCAAGTTTCCATGCACTTGGGATGGTCCTCACACAGCGTGACCACTACGGCGTTGCTCGTAAGTTAGCGTGCCTTTACAACAGTAGCCAGGGTGCGAGCTAGCGTGCATGTGTGAATGAAAGTATGGCTCAGTATCATTATTATGCTGGGCAGGAGAAGATTCACCCGAACTCACTACTATAAGCAGTGTAGCAGGACGGGGAAACCAATACAGAAAAACCTGTCAAGGCAACCACTCTGATAAGGCGGCCACATGTCCTAGTGGACGGACCACTACAACCAGGACCAGGGGATGTTATTTCCAGTCAAATGACCCTGGATATGGAGAACACCTGTATACGGGAACCACATTTGTAAGGTCCCTCGAGCGGTCGATTTAGACAGGTTTCACTGTACCATGGATACTTGTGTGAAAATCAGTTATAGACTGGTGTTCACATCTTGGTCATGTGACTAAATTTGTGCACAAACTGGTCATGGCCTGCAGGCGCGTGCCCCGTATGGGTTCCTGGGTGCCCGGAACCCCCCTTTTTCGCTCAAAATGCAGGATTTTGCTTCATTTTGTGAAAGAAAGGAACCCCCTTGAAGGACACCGGGGCACACGCCTGGCCTGTGGACAGTGGAACCAACATGGCCAACATCGTGTGACCCATACATATCAGCAGGGGTCGAGTGGAGTTGGAACCAATATGGCTGCCCCATATTGTCATGTGATAGATGTGAAACAATTCAATGCAGATACTCTGCACTAAATGATAGATGATAGGAGAGATGCTACAACACCTTGTGTTAGTTGATACTTTGAAGTAAAATTAACTACCGTAAAAGCCCGTGTATAGGCCCCGGGCGTATAGAATAGCAGCCTCGATTTCCTGGGCGTATACAAGGGCACGGGCGTTATTTTGGAACCAGGCGTATACTTGAAATAAGGATAGCAGTAAGTATTGGGTATCAGCACCTGTACATGGACTGGTGTTGCCGGCATACCTGGGCGTAAACATAGGTATGGGCGCTATTTTGAAACAAAAGTGTTGACTTCCCCTGGCTGGGCGTGTACACGGAGGGTGGGCGTAATTTCGAGTGGGCGTATACAAGGGCTTTTACGGTAATTGCTAAAAATGAAGACCTTTCAAGCTGGTGCTGGATGCAAGAATTCGTGAATAGAATAAGTTTTTAAACTTATTATTTAAAAAAATTTACGGCTCACTCGCACCAAGTTTGACAGACATGTGGTGGAGAAGTTGAGCATCGACGTTTTTTCTTCTTCTTTACCACAAACTAGTTTGCGTTTGCCTGATGGAGTATTACAACCAAGTGATCCGACTGTATGTACATGTAAATGTTCGCAATCGCACTTGGATAACAAGCACTAACCACTGTACCAAGACACACATCTTGGGCACACTGCAACAAGACCTTGGGCTCTGTTGGGAATGCCAAAGTAAAATGATAATTAATATAATACACACTACGACTCTGATCTACTTGTAAGTTGCCAGCTATCTCCTTATCTTTTTAAAGTCACTTGAATTTTTCTTCATATTCTCGAGACCATGACCGACTGTTATAGTTTCGTGCATTACTAATACACTGCTATATCGGGTGTTGAGGAATGGAGCGCCGAAGAACGACCAGCCTAGAAATTCACCAAGCACAGCATACCAAAGTATACACGGTGACTCAACTCTGCATAGACTGTAATACATGAAAAGAGGAACGGCCTAGGCTAGGAGGCTGCCCCCCCCCCCCCCCGGTATTCAGCAACAGACAACACTATACTCACTCTGCTTGTTGCTGGGCCCCGCGCTTGACTGGACAGCAAAACATGCACGCATGTCAGAATACGTGTGCACGCACATGTGCAGGGCACACATACATGCACACACAAAACAGTTTCACACACACACACACACACACACACGCACGCACGCACGCACGCACGCACGCACGCACGTACGCACTCACACACACACACACACACACACACACACACACACACACACGTGTACGCATGCATGCACGCACTTACCACACACACACACACACACACACACACACACACATACACACACACACATATACACACACACACACATACACACACACAGATACACACACATACACACACACACATACACACACATACACACACATAACACACACATAAACACACACACACAAACACACACACACACACAAACACACACACACACATGACATGATTATGGCACTGAGATCGCGTGGTATGTGTGGTAAAGTACCATCGATCTCCCCCCCCCCCCCCCCCCCCCCCAGCTGTATAATTTTGTGTGTCGCTATATAGTTGGTTTTCGGCATGGGGCGGCTAGGGGAACTGTCACCAAAAAAATTCTTTGTCTTATCTTGTGGTTCTTTGGCTCCTGATCACGATGCATGGTGTTATCCGTTTCTCTCTGCGATGGCTGGAAGTGGGTGAAAACTTGAAAAGAAGGTGCCCAAAATTGTCCCGAAGTACCGAGTGACGTCACGCCGGACTTGACCCCCACGCGTACATTCGTCGTCAAAAACGAAGTCCAGCCCGTGTGCTCGTCGATCGAGCTAGCTGTTCCAATGTGCGGTGCACGTGTGCCTTTTGAACTGTAACACAGATGGGTACGTCGTACCGAAGGAGAATGCCAAAGAGGCAGAGAACCACGTGCAGCTACACAGCCAAATCAAAATAAAAAGCAGCTGAGCTTTCACCTTTTTGACTTCTTCCGCGAGGATCTAAGTTTTATTTTTGAGAACGGAAGTACGTCGTTGTTTTGAACTTTTCGTGTGAGGAACAACACGATGATGAGTGCGTATGCAGAAAACAGTACTCCTCTGGCCGGCGATAACACCACCAACCCGAGCCCCAAAGGAACACAATGTAGGTACGTGAAGGCGATTCATCTGGCGATGTTGCTGAAGATGCAGATGACAAACTCCGACGTCTTTCATTTCAGAGCCGCTTGGGCAACACCGCCACCTTCAGCTTCGATACAACGACATCATTTTCAAGCACGAGGTATGTGTGTCACACTAACAGCAAACAAACATCCTTCTACTCCTTCGTAATCACAAATAAAACAAAGAGCTGGAGCTTCGTGGAGGAAGTACCAGTGCGACAAACTGCTGTCGACTTTTGTTTATTTTGTCCCTTTTCGGCGTTCTCATTGTGTACAACGTAGACCCGGGTGCTCAAATCAGAAACGATTTGACAGGTGTGAAATTTCTCATCTGTAAATCTCAACAATGTCAGAATATACTTTTGGAGAGGCGATGGAACAGGGAAGAGAGTCTGGCTTGACCCACCCAGCAGGAATTCAGAACCTGGGTGCGCTACAACACAAGCTACAGTACGCAGTAGAATTGTCGTATTTCCTTCGGATTTTTTATTTAAAAATTGGGTGCTCGAATCAGAAACAGCAAACTCGTCAGATCGTCTCCGATTCAAGCACACGGGTCTACCATCGTCTACGCTTGGTGTGGCAGTTGAGGGCAGGGAGTAGTAACTTACTACTTCGTTTTTGAGAGCAAGATGGTCAGTGGAGCCGCAGATTCAGCAGGTCTTTGGCAGCACCGTACAGGAGACCCACATCCTCGAATCAAGGACCTAGCAAAAAGTGGGTCGCGAGTATGTCAAAAACCGTTTACCGGGCAGCGCTGAAATTTGGCATACCATTAGCGGGCCGTATGTTGATGGTATTCGTGAAAACTAAACGAAATCGGAACAAGTTAAGGTACAATTTCAGGCTGTTTCTGTTTTAGTACCCTGTCTCTCATTCGAGCACCCGGGTCTACACATCGAGTGTCCGAGTTCAGAAGGCAAGCGTGCACCGTACATCGAACAGTTGGCTCGATCGACCAGCACACGGGCTGGACTTCGTTTTTGACGATGAATGTACGCGTGGAGGTCAAGTCCGGCGAGACGTCACTCGGTACTTCGGGACAATTTTGGGGACTATCTTTTCAAGTTTTCACCCACTTCCAGTCATTGCGGAGAAAAACGAATAACACCATCGTGATCAGGAGCCAAAGAACTACAAGATAAGACAAAGAAAATTTTGGTGACAGTTCCCCTTTAACCATCGTGAAGTCATTTTTTCCTACAATATCCACATATCTCCAGACACTGGGGTGAATAATGGAGTGTGGTGGTGGGACCCATTAAGCTCAGCCGACCAGAGGTCTCGGCTTCATAGCTCCATGGACGCACCAAAGCCAAAGGGGGATCGGGTAGGGAGGATTAAGTTGAAAAAGAAGACAGAAGAAAGAAAATGAAAAGACTTCATTGCTCAGTGAGCAAAAGAGTAAGTTGAGCATTGACGTGAACGCTGTTAGACTTTTAAATTCAAGAGGAGGCTGTCTGTGAGGAGAGATTATGTCCAACTTAACAGTGGATGTATGCGTGTGGCCACAGTGATCCGGAAACACTTTACATTGTGGACTCGCTGGTTCCGAGAAAGCGAAAATTTAGCGACGCGAATATTGGGCGGTTGACATTATTGCGACTCCAGCTTCATGCTTACGCGATCTCAGGCAAAGCTCATTTGGAAGTACCTTACCGTTTTACATTGCATATTCAACTAACCTGAATGAGGAGAGGCCGATCCTGGGTGCTCCACCAACATTTCATCGTCATCCTGCAGGTATTGCAAGAGACAAATTGCAAGCAAGCAAACATAAACATACACCCACTGGACTCAGTGTGCAGTCCTATAAACAGTCGGAAGTCCAGTAGGGAGTTGAACTCATGATCTAGTCGTATTTTCATGACTCCGTCAAACTCAAGCAACTGCAACTTTTCCTGTAGAAGTCGAAACATGTAGAGTATGAAGTCTGTCAGTTGTGATCAGGCACCCGCTGCATCCGCCAATCATGTACTGTGAAGGATGGTTTGAAGAACTGTGCATCAGTTCTCAACTTCTCACCTATTACTTCCTACTTCCCAGGGAAGAGCAGCTACAACTAACAAGACTTAGTACAACAGACTGCTGCGCTGGAGTCTTTCGCTCGTGGAGCTGAAGAAAAGAATGATACTAGCAGCAGCTAGTCAGTGGACACATTTCTAGAACCTGACGGTGTGTGGGGGCCAGAAAGCTCTCGGCAAGAAAGAAAGATTCGCGTGGCGATCGACCTTCAGTATTCACGTAGTTGTAGGGCAGGAAGTTAGCTGCTGGTTTCATCTAACACAGTCATGATTAAAAACATTTTCATGATCGGCTTAAAGGGCACTCGTACCTTGATCACCCAAATAGCGTTGAAGCTGCAGCGTAGAAACGTTATGGGGGCTGATTTATCGTTGTGACCAACGGTACGTTTTTTGGCCAAATATTGCATAGTCCGTACGCATTTCACCTTGTATCGCGTATATGGTGACATAAATGATTGTACCACGCTAAGTAAAAGCTATTCTCGTGGCAACAGCGTACTAAAAATAGCGTGTATCTTGCTAAAGGTCGAGCCCAAATCACGGTAGTTTCCCCTTTGCGGTAATACCGTTACAACATAACGTTGTTTGCTAAGGGTGTCTAATATAATAATATAATATTCGCGGGATCCGCGTCGGCATCGCTTGAATGTTCAGAAACACACAAACTAGCCTTCGCATCCGCAGGCCACCACTATGCCTGTTAACCTTAGTGGCGAATGCAGACCTCACAAGTGAGTCAGGGGAGAGGAGGTTAGTCTCTCAACCAATCGGGCGTGTAACGGCCCATAACCCTGTAAACTGCATCCTTGTTATTCTCACTCCGAGCTGTGAGTACCCAGTTGACCGTGGGTGTCGGCGCAGTTCAACACGCTTAAAAAGTCTTTTTACACGCTCCCTGCTACCAGCGCGGGTCTTGAACCCGGGACCTCATGATTCGCAGGCAGGCCTGCAAACCAATCGGCCATATGCGTGGGTGTCTAATACCACTACTAAACTGTCACTTCTATCCAAAACGACAACAAGTCGTCACAGGACAGCTGGCAGACTGGGCTGGAGCGATACAGAGATTTCATGGATGGCTCCTTCTGCATTTTGACATGACTCGAGTGGGATCCCGCTCCATCGTAATCGTGGAAAATCTCGAAGTCCTTGACACCTGGAATCTCTGCTCGCTTGGTGAGCAGGCCCTAGGCCTACTGCACGGCTTGGAAAAATAGAAATTTTCATCTCTCGCACCTTCTACGTACCATCGCCTGTCAGAACGTATCAGCTGGATCCAGCAAATTACTACACTCTGCCTGGATTTGCCTGGGATGCTCTGTTGATGTACTCAGGTGTGTCCTTGGAATTACTAACAGACTATGATCAGCACTTGTTTGTAGAATCAGGAATGAGAGGCGGTGTGTCGATGGTCTCACAACGATATGCTGCTGCTAATAATCACTATCAGGAGAAATTTGATGCTGATCAGCCATCGTCATTTATCCAGTATCTCGATGCCAACAATCTCTATGGTTGGGCAATGTCACAGCATCTCCCAGTGTCTGATTTTCAGTGGGAGAAACCATCAGAGAAACTCCTGAACAAGATACTGAATACTCAAGACGATTCCTCATCGGGGTATATCGTCGAGTGTGATCTGGAATATCCACACGAACTTCATGAGAAGCACAACGATTATCCAGTTGCTCCGGAACGTCTTTCCGTCAATGAGGACATGTTATCTCCATACCAGCAGGAGCTTGTTGATAAACTCAATTCTTCCGGAGTAGATGCTCTCAAACTTGTACCAAACTTGAGGGATAAGACAAAGTACGTTCTCCATTACCGAAACTTGAAACTCTACACTCAGCTCGGACTACGTTGTGTCAAAATTCATCGTGCTCTGAAATTTACTCAGACACCGTGGATGAGAAACTACATCGAGAAGAATACAGACCTCCGGAAGAAGGCACAGGATGATTTCTCCAAAGACTTCTATAAACTGATGAACAATGCGGTGTTTGGGAGGCTTTGGCTGCTAGGCGGGCGGGCACAGAAAAATAATAAAGCACCCATTTTGATAGTCCAGGGGATGGCCCTGCTGTACCCTTACACTATTCTTCTTGTCCTTGTCGGCACCGGCTTTGAGCAGGATTTCGCAAATGTTGAAAGAGCGTTGATTGACGGCACAGTGCAACGGAGTGTCACCAGCCTGGAAGCACAGGAAAGAAACAGGGATCCGCGAAAAGTACTCAATAAGTTACATATTAGATCACAATCACAAGTGCAGATCAATGTCGTCATAACAGTGGAGAGTAGAATGCAACAGTTGACAAATTCACAATTTATCCCACACACACAGAAAACTGTTCATCCCACACATCGCCTCATTTTGTACGTTTGAACTTTCACTCAGGGCTAGCAATTGACAATTTATGAGTGATCATCCAGTGAATCCAAGCTACTAGGCAAGGTTAAAACGACTCGGGACGCTCAATCTATTTGCATGTTGAGAGCGTAAACATGCAAAACCTTTGCATGAGCATAGTATGAAACAGAATTGAATTGACCAATTTCAAGTAGACAGCAGGATTTTGCCCAAACGTTCTTCCACAGTTCCGTCTTTGATTTATTTCCACTTGTTGTGGTGAACTTTTAACTGGCTTCGAGTTAGTGTATGAACATATGTTCAGGTCATGGCAAGATTCCAGGTTTGAGAGGGTCAGAGAAACATTTGTTTTACTGTACGTATTGGGTAAAAAGTGAAAATAGTACATACACCGGGCACTACACTCGAAACTGTACCCTTACATTATTCTGGCTGTCCTTGTTGGCACCGGCTTTGAGCAGGATTTCGCAAATTGGGATATTTTCTTGCCTACTAGCACAGTGCAACGGAGTGTCACCAGCCTGGAAGCACAGGAAAGAAACAGGGGTCCACGAAAAGTACTCAATAAGTTACATATTAGATCACAATCACAAGTGCAGATCAATGCAGTCATAACAATGGAGAGTAGAATGCAACAGTTGACAAATTCACAATTTATCCCACACATTGTCTCATTTTGTACGTTTGAACTTTCACTCAGGGCTAGCAATTGACGATTTATGAGTGACCATCCAGTGAATCCAAGCTAGTAAGCAATGTTAATGCGACTCTAGGTGCCAAATCTATTTGCATGTTGAGAGCGTAAACATGCAAAACCTTCGCATGAGCATAGTATGAAGTGGAATTGAATTGACCAATTTCAAGTAGACAGCAGGATTTTGCCTAAACGTTCTTCCACAGTTCCGTCTTTGATTTATTTCCACTTCTTGTGGTGAATTTTTAACTGGCTTCGAGTTAGTGTATGAACATATGTTCAGGTCATGACCAAATTCCAGGTGGAAGAGGGTCAGAGAAACATTTGTTTTACTGTACGTATTGGGTAAAAAGTGAAAACAGTACATACATGTACACCAGTCACTACACTCGAAACTGTACCCTTACACTATCCTCCATGGCCTTGTCGGCACGGGCTTCGAAGGGGATTTCGCAAATGTCAATAAAGCCCTTCTTGACGGCACAGTGCAACGGAGTGTCACCAGCCTGGAAGCAAAGGAAAGAAACAGGGGTCCGCGAAAAGTACTGAATAAGTTACATATTAGATCACAATCACAAGTGCAGATCAATGTCGTCATAACAGTGGAGAGTAGAATGCAACAGTTGACAAATTCACAATTTATCCCACACATCGTCTCATTTTGTACGTTTGAAATTTCACGCAGGGCTAGCAATTGACAATTTATAAGTGACCATCCAGTGAATCCAAGCTAGTAAGCAAGGTTAAAACGACTCTGGGTGCCAAATCTATTTGCATGTTGAGAGCGTAAACATGCAAAACCTTTGCATGAGCATAGTATGAAACGAAATTCAATTGACCAATTTCAAGTAGACAGCAGGATTTTGCCCAAAAGTTCTTCCACAGTTCCGTCTTTGATTTATTTCCACTTGTTGTGGTGAACTTTAAACTGGCTTCGAGTTAGTGTATGAACATATGTTCAGGTCATGACAAGATTCCAGGTGGAAGAGGGTCAGAGAAACATTTGTTTTACTGTACGTATTGGGTAAAAAGTGAAAATAGTACATACATGTACAACAGGCACTACACTCAAAACTGTACCCTTACACTATTCTTCTTGTCCTTGTCGGCACCGGCTTTGAGCAGGATTTTGCAAATGTCGATATAGCGTTCATTGACGGCACAGTGCAACGGAGTGTCACCAGCCTGGAAGCACAGGAAAGAAACAGGGGTCCGCGAAAAGTACTGAATAAGTTACATATTAGATCACAATCACAAGTGCAGATCAATGCCGTCATAACAGTGGAGAGTAAAATGCAACAGTTGACAAACTCACAATTTATCCCACACATCGTCTCATTTTGTACGTTTGAAATTTCACTCAGGGCTAGCAATTGGCAATTTTTAAGTGACCATCCAGTGAATCCAAGCTAGTAAGCAAGGTTAAAACGACTCTGGGTGCCAAATCTATTTGCATGTTGAGAGCGTAAACATGCAAAACCTTTGCATGAGCATAGTATGAAACGAAATTCAATTGACCAATTTCAAGTAGACAGCAGGATTTTGCCTAAAGGTTCTTCCACAGTTCCGTCTTTGATTTATTTCCACTTGTTGTGGTGAACTTTTAACTGGCTTCGAGTTAGTGTATGAACATATGTTCAGGTCATGACAAGATTCCAGGTGGAAGAGGGTCAGAGAAACATTTGTTTTACTGTACGTATTGGGTAAAAAGTGAAAATAGTACATACATGTACACCAGTCACTACACTCAAAACTGTACCCTTACACTATTCTTCTTGTCCTTGTCGGCACGGGCTTCGAGGAGGATTTCGCAAATGTCCATAAAGCGTCTCTTGACGGCACAGTGCAACGGAGTGTCACCAGCCTGGAAGCAAAGGAAAGAAACAGGGGTCCGCGAAAAGTACTGAATAAGTTACATATTAGATCACAATCACAAGTGCAGATCAATGTCGTCATAACAGTGGAGAGTAGAATGCAACAGTTGACAAATTCACAATTTATCCCACACATCGTCTCATTTTGTACGTTTGAAATTTCACTCAGGGCTAGCAATTGACAATTTATGAGTGACCATCCAGTGAATCCAAGCTAGTAAGCAAGGTTAAAACGACTCTGGGTGCCAAATCTATTTGCATGTTGAGAGCGTAAACATGCAAAACCTTTGCATGAGCATAGTATGAAACGAAATTCAATTGACCAATTTCAAGTAGACAGCAGGATTTTGCCTAAAGGTTCTTCCACAGTTCCGTGTTTGATTTATTTCCACTTGTTGTGGTGAATTTTTAACTGGCTTCGAGTTAGTGTATGAACATATGTTCAGGTCATGACAAGATTCCAGGTGGGAGATGGTCAGAGAAACATTTGTTTTACTGTACGTATTGGGTAAAAAGTGAAAATAGTACATACATGTACACCAGTCACTACACTCAAAACTGTACCCTTACACTATTCTTCTTGTCCTTGTCGGCACCGGCTTCGAGCAGGATTTCGCAAATGTTGAAATAGCGTTGATTGACAGCACAGTGCAACGGAGTGTCACCAGCCTGGAAGCACAGGAAAGAAACAGGGATCCGCGAAAAGTACTCAATAAGTTACATATTAGATCACAATCACAAGTGCAAATCAATGCAGCATAACAGTGGAGAGTAGAATGCAACAGTTGACAAATTCACAATTTATCCCACACATTGTCTCATTTTGTACGTTTGAACTTTCACTCAGGGCTAGCAATTGACGATTTATGAGTGACCATCCAGTGAATCCAAGCTAGTAAGCAATGTTAATGCGACTCTAGGTGCCAAATCTATTTGCATGTTGAGAGCGTAAACATGCAAAACCTTCGCATGAGCATAGTATGAAGTGGAATTAAATTGACCAATTTCAAGTAGACAGCAGGATTTTGCCCAAAAGTTCTTCCACAGTTCCGTCTTTGATTTAATTCCACTTCTTGTGGTGAACTTTTAACTGGCTTCGAGTTAGTGTATGAACATATGTTCAGGTCATGACAAGATTCCAGGTGGGAGATGGTCAGAGAAACATTTGTTTTACTGTACGTATTGGGTAAAAAGTGAAAACAGTACATACATGTACACCGGGCACTACACTCGAAATTGTACTCTTACCCTATCCTCCATGTCCTTCTCGGCACCGGCATCGAGCAGCATTTTGCAAATGCCGATATAGCGTCTCTTGACGGCACAGTGCAACGGAGTGTCACCAGCCTGGAAGAACAGGAAAGAAACAGGGATCCGCGAAAAGTACTTAATAAGTTACGTATTAGATCACAATCACAAGTGCAAATCAATGCAGCATACCAGTGGAGAGTAGAATGCAACAGTTGACAAATTCACAATTTATCCCACACATTGTCTCATTTTGTACGTTTGAACTTTCACTCAGGGCTAGCAATTGACGATTTATGAGTGACCATCCAGTGAATCCAAGCTAGTAAGCAATGTTAATGCGACTCTGGGTGCCAAATCTATTTGCATGTTGAGAGCGTAAACATGCAAAACCTTCGCATGAGCATAGTATGAAGTGGAATTGAATTGACCAATTTCAAGTAGACAGCAGGATTTTGCCCAAAAGTTCTTCCACAGTTCCGTCTTTGATTTATTTCCACTTCTTGTGGTGAACTTTTAACTGGCTTCGAGTTAGTGTATGAACATATGTTCAGGTCATGACAAGATTCCAGGTGGGAGATGGTCAGAGAAACAACTGATTTAAGAGAGCATGTCTGAGAAAACAAGAACATATGTGCAAGTCGATCTCTCAGATTTCGCTCAAATTATGCAAGTAGGTTTGCTTTGGGGTGTAGATCGACATTCCAAAGCCCGCGCAAAATCTTTTGGAGGGAACCATGAAATTGGCATACCCCTCAATATTGGCCCAATATTAGCACGATTAATGGGCTTAAAAACGAGCCACGGCACAGCGTACAAGAACAAGCTACGAACAAAACTCCATCAAGCCAACATTACCTCACCTTAGAAGAGTTCTTGGGGCAGAACCACTTAGCCACGCCAGCATCCCAGAAGACAAGGGCAATCATTCCTTGACGCCACAAATGATCGTCTTGAAAATAGCCAAATTACAAGCGCTGATAAAATAGCGAGCTACGGCCTCAATTAGCAAACACTATACACCGCCAGATAGTAGAACACCTCTTCTAGCACTGAGGACATGTCCCCCATCATCCTTTTTGGGGTTTTCTTGAAATAAATAATTTTGAATTTTTCCACTCGACCATTCTGAAATACGTCCAAACTCATACCTGCGCAGGAAAGCTCGCCCTCCGCGACGTCTAGTCAGCAATTTCTACTCCAACACCACTCCCAACGCTGCAGAACAAAGTGTTTTGTTGACTCTGACAAGGAAAAGCAGCGGTGATCACTTGTCACTCCAAACGACAAGCTTCTCCTTGCGCCACCAACATTTTTCGGTGCAACAGTTGATGCAAAAGTGACTGAATTTGGCGTGTAGTTTTTGGATTTTACTGCAAGAGGAATGATGAAATCACGGGCATCGTGATGTAGAATAATGCTTTCTTGTGCACGACACAATGCACACGATCGCGATCGTTCCTGAGGTGCTATTCGAAACGGACCATGAGGGAGGAGGTAAGATGCATTCTATTTCTTGCATGCTCTGCTCAGAACATGCAGAAATTATCGTTATAGCGCTAGCAGTATTGCATTGACAAGAATTCTTTGAGATATTTCCTCTTGCAGTAAGAACAGGGATGCATTTTTTCACACTAACTTCGCATATCCCGAACATGGTGCAACAGGAACTACGGCTAGTTTACATGCTGATGATCCACGTAGATCTGCAACAGCAAGGAATGACCGTGGTCCATGCCATCAAGGTCGCTTGGAGTTGACCAGCGCGCCTCCTACACTGGTTGCATGGGATATGTGGCGCGCCCACATGGCAGATTTCTTACGTCATGAACAACGTGATTTGACCCTACTCGCCCTATATGTAGTCTCTGTGCTGCATGTTGAGGGAAAGTCCCGGCTGGAAGGCCTACAATACGACATGCGTGCTTTTGAGCTGGACATCAAGATGCACTTGATCCGATCTAGATCAACGGGTGATCCATGTAAGTGCAGGTGCAGGTGACTCGGAACTGCTGAACCGCGATCTACGAGACCTGGCATTCTTGTGTCACGAGGCACGTGATTAATTCATTATTCCTCTTCCAGTAAAATCCAAAAACTACACACAAAAATTCAGTCACTTTTGCATCAACTGTTGCACCGAAAAATGTTGGTGGCGAAAGGAAAAGCTTGTCGTTTGGAGTGACAAGTGATCACCGTTGCTTTTCCTTTTCAGAGCCAACAAAACACTTTGTTCTGCAGCGTTGGGAGTGGTGTTGGAGTAGAAATTGCTGACTAGACGTCGCGGAGGGCGAGCTTTCCTGCGCAGGTATGAGTTTGGACGTATTTCAGAATGGTCGAGTGGAAAAATTCAAAATTGTTTATTTCAAGAAAACCCCAAAAGGATGATGGCCTTTTTTGATGGGGGACATGTCCTCAGTGCTAGAAGAGGTATTCTACTATCTGCCGGTGTATAGTGTTTGCTAATTGAGGACGTAGCTCGCTGTTTTATCAGCGCTTCTAATTTGGCTATTTTCAAGACGATCATTTGTGGCGTCAAGGGATGACTGCCCTCGTCTTCTGGGATGCTGGCGTGGCTAAGCGGTGCTGCCCAGAGAACTCTTCTAAGGTGAGGTAATGTTGGCTTGATGGAGTTTTGTTCGTAGCTTGTTCTTGTACGCTGTGCCGTGGCTCCTTTGTAGACCCATAAATCGTGCTAATATTGGGCCAATATTGAGGGGTATGCCAATTTCATGGTTCTCTTCAAAAGATTTTGCGCGGACTTTGGAATGTCGATCTACACCCCAAAGCAAACCTACCTGCAAAATTTGAGCGAAATCTAAGAGACCGACTTGCACATAATTGAGCCGCACCATGACAAAAGGGTGCTAAAGGCAAAAATTTCGCAAATTGAGTTATGGAAACAGCGCAATGGCTGAATTCTCACTGCTTCTGTTGCAAAAAAACGCATTCAAAAAGCTTGATAAATCGCAACAAAACTGATTAAATTCAAAAAGAAAATGTGCACTCTCAATATTGCATACTCAACTTTCAAACGAGTCTTTCGCAGTTTGATGTCACGTGCCATAAGCACCCTTTTGTCGTGTCGCGGCTCAATTATGTTCTGGTTTTATTAGACATGCTCTCTTAGGGTGCGTTTGGTTGGTACGATCTACTACAGGATCGAACAGCTGGTGCACATGGAGCAGCCTCATGCCAACCAAATGGTACTCCAGAAACAGAGCACATTTTTGTGGAGAAATGTGCCAAACTTGGTGCATTCTTCAAAATGTGTATGGGTCACCATGGTCACTTTGTACGGTACAACGAATCCAACCCAAAAGCGTAAGCACGTGATCATTTGGGACCAAAATCGGTGTTCCCGCCAGGTTTCACTGTGAAAAAGTGAAACTGCTCGGTCTGCTCCGGCCTCGAGGCCGGAGCAAGCAGAACATGTTCTGGCCGACCCAGAACAGGTGCAGTCCCAACCAAACGCGCTGTTCTGGTGAATCCTGTTCTAGTTCGTACCAACCAAACGCGCCCTTAATGTACGTATTGGGTAAATAGTGAAAACAGTACATATACCGGGCACTACACTCGAAACTGTACCCTTACACTATTCCGGATGTTCGTCTCGGCACCGGCACCGAGCAGGGCTTTGCAACTGTCGATATTGCATTGTTCGACGGCACAGTGCAACGGAGTGTCAACAGCCTGGAAGCACAGGAAAGAAACAGGGGTCCGCGAAAAGTACTGAATAAGTTACATATTAGATCACAATCACAATAATTGTAGATCAACGCAATCATTACAATGGAGAGTGGAATGAAGCAGTCAATAAAGTCAAAACTTCTCTCACGTATTGTCTCATTTTGTACATTTGAACTTTCATTCGGGGCTCCCCCACCCCATCCCGGCCGCAACACACGGTGTGAGCAGAACTGTTATGTTTGCTAGTTATTGCTAACCATGCTTGTTATGGTGACGTTGCTCTCA